AAAAAAAAAAAAAAAAAATTATTGCAGGAATTTGCCTTGATTTAATATTTATTACGTGAAATTATTGGGTGCTTCAGTAGATTACATCCCATTTTCTATAATAAAAAGCCCAAATCTAAAGGACATTGGACATCATTACCTACCTTCCCACAGCAAACACAGTCAACCCCACAGTAATTTTATGATTTGCGTAATAATTTTCCAAAACTGACTCATTGTAAGTGCCATGCCACACAATTGGAGCTGACCATTCAGTAGTAGTCAAGTTTGTGTACGCCCTATGAGAAAGACAGCATTTTTGAACAAAATACATTATAATAAAACAGAAGAAGATATTACTAATGCATAAAGTTTGGTTCTGATTGCAGCATCTCCTCATACTTAACCCAAAGCCTTGACAATTATGAGCGGCAGTATACAAAACTGGAGAGTCAGTATTCAAAAAATGGCCAGATCATAACAAAAGTATACTTACAGATTAGATGTATTATGAATCTAAGATCTTTGAGGACACATAGTTGAAATGTCTCTCAAAATCTAAAGTAATAATTTCTCTTATATTTAGCCAAAACATCCTGGTCTTAGACTTTTTGACGTAATTAAAGGCCATATTTTTAAAAATGAACTTCCAAGTTTTCATAATCTGAAATGTTGCCAGTGATAATACTGCTATATACTTTCAGAATCAACTTTGTGAGAACTCCAGAAAATTGTCAAATGTTTAGAGCAACCAAGTAAAAAGTTAAATCAAGATAACTCAACATGGCAGGAATAGAAAAGCTTTGTGATATTTTTAACTTAGGCTACCCCAACTCCCTCCCTAATATGGTAGCAGAATAGAAGACAGAAGATCATATTTCCAGTGTGAGTATCTGATTCTGGAGAGAGCAGAGTGGACCTTATTCCCAGGAAGTTGTATTTGTCTGTTCTGACCTGTCTGAGGGTTCCCTGAAGGACTGACAAAAGCACTTCCTTTTGTTTCACCTAACTAGATCTCTCTCAGAGTAGAAAAGTTACTAGGTAAAGGATTTTCCTTAAACACATTTTAAAAACAAACAAGTCCCTGCCACCCTGCAAAAGATTATGGTTGGGGCAAACCCTAAGATGCTGACAGCCTTGGAGGAAAACCTGGGAAGAGAGTCACTTTGGAAAATAAGGGCTTTGTCAATCCCCTCTCTATAATGGATATTTAGAAATCCATGTATATGCCCAGGGCAGGTTATGTGCTCAAAAAAGAAATGAGAAGACCATAAGCTTTCACCTCTGGCTGACAGTTAGGCTTAGAGAAAGCAGGAAGTTAAAGCTAACACAAAGTCGTAAATATCTGGGCTAAGCATTGAAGGAGGGCCCAAACACAGCCAATTTGCAAAGACTAAAAGAGGATTTTCCTCCCTTCCTCCCTCCCTCCCTCCTTCCCTCCTTCCTTCCTTCCCTCCTTCCCTCCTTCCCTCCTTCCCTCCTTCCCTCCTTCCCTCCTTCCCTCCTCTCTTCCTTCCTTCCTTCCGTCCTTCCTTCCTTCCTTCCTTCCTCTCTCTTTATCCACCTCCTTTTCTTTCCTCCTCCTCCTCATCCTCCTCCTTTTTCTTCTTCCTCTTATTGTCTCTCTTCATCCCCAGGCATTTAAAGAAATCTCGGTCTGACCACGGCTGACCATAAGCTAAAGGAAATAAAATCACAGAGATAAAAGAAAAAAAAGACAAAAAATACTAAACTTTATTTGTT